ATCGCCGACGTGTTCTCGGAGCAGAGCAAGGAGTATTACAAGCAGGACTGCTGCGCAGGGCTCGACCTAAACAGTGTTTTTGCTGCTTGGAAGAGCATTTGTGTTCGTTTTTGCAGGAACAAGGCGGGACGAAGACAGAAGGATGGTAAACGAAAGCAACACGAAAGCGGACAACACTCTTCATGTCGAGCACTGCTGCTCTTGGCATCGCTCGGACGAGTGCATTTTTTGCCGGCGAGGGCCATCGAGGAGCACCTCGGATCATCTGGCAGAAAGACAAACGCGCACGAAATCGAAACATGCACGGAATGGGCGTCCGAGCGATGGCGAGTGTTGCCGAGAGGTCGGCCTTCTCACGCCGTGGGTGCGCCCCGTGGCGTGCGGGCGCGTGCACCCCCCGCGCACGCCCCTGCGCATTTTTCGGGGGGGGGGGCGAGCGTGTCTGGGGGGCGTTCCAGCGAGGGCCCCGCCGTCTGCGCCCGGGAGGGGGCAAGACCACATGGACACAACGAGTCGTCGATCCCCAGAAAAGCAGGGAAACCGAGGAACGTGGAGGGGGAATGCCCAGGAAAACCAGGGAAGATGTGGAGAGTATGGGAATTGTGGGAACCCCTGAAGGGCGCGGATAAGCATGGGGAACCTTGGCATCTGTGCCTATCTGTTTGCGTGCCCCTGGGTCCCTGCAAATCTGCGCGGCCTCGCCCTCGGCGGAAGAGCCGGCGGAGTGCGGGCGGAGGCCGGCGAGGGCAACAACGGCGACGGCTCCGCTGGCGGCAGGCGGCGGAGGGCAGCGCGAGGCGTCGGCATCGTTGGTTCGGGGCCCGCAGCGTCGCTCACGTGCTGCGGGCTCCTGAGGCACGACGCTGGGCTGCGGCACGCTGGGGTTCCACCTCGATCAATGCTTACCGACCAATCGGGACCGAACCCACCGCGCCCTTGGAGGGCGTCGAGGGCCGTGGCCCGCGGCGGGCCCTGGACGGGCGCGCGTTGAGCTCCTTGTTGGGCACAGGCAGAAGCGAGATGAACCAACGTATGCCACCGTGTCCGCACGCGCCGTCTATGTTTGTGGCCATCCTGGCACGCCTGCGGCCTCCTCGAGGCTCGGGGCGCGCCTTCGGGCGGCTGCACGGGCCACTGGCGCGTCTCGTGCCGGCGCGTTCCCACCGCGGTCCGGGGCTGGCGCCGTGCGTGCCGCTTGCGGGGTTTCGAAGTGCGCGTGCGCGGGGGTGCCGGGGCCCCAGCCCACCGGGGAGCACGCACCGCGTTGGAGAGGCAGCGTGGCGAGCCAGGGGGGCTGAGCGGGGAGGGTGGGCGGAATCGGAAAGAGGCAGGAGCGCAAACGAGTTGGCTCCACGGGTGAGAGCGCATGGTCATCCCAGGGCTTGCGAGAGCCCAGTGTCAGCCCTCAGAGGGATCATGGCGGGCAAGGACTGGCGAGGGGGCGAATGGGGGGGCAGAATTGTTACTCTGATGTCTCCCTCCTCCTCCTCCTCCTCCTCCTCCTCCTCCTCCTCCTCCTCTTTCTCTCCCTTCTCCTCACTTCTCCTTCTCTTCGTTAGACTCTTCTCCTCTCCCTCCTCCTTCCTCATCCTCCCTCTGCATCCTCCTGCTCCTCCTACCTCCTTTCCTGCTCTCGCTCGTCCTTTTCCTTCTGTTCTTGCCCCGGGACTGCCAAGTCTAGCCCGGAGAGACGGCCCTCTTCAGCGCGTGGTCCCTGGACGTCTCAACTCGAGAGGCCCAGGGACCCCGTGTTGAAAGCCCATCCGGGCGTCGGAGGTTGGGGCCTCCACCCGTGGCACCTATCCTCACCGGCCTCCTGCCTTCGCGGGGGGGCGGGGGGGTGAAGAGGGGCCAGTTGGGGGCGTCTGCGCCACCCTTCTCCTTTTTCCGTCTCCTTCCGCCGCTCCCTTTCCTCCCCAGTTTCCTCATCCCCCCCCCGCCTCCTCTCCATCCTCCTTTTCCTGCCAGGCAGGGGGCGCGCCTGCTCTAGCGGAGCCCTAAATCGCCTGGGACCTTTAGGCCATCTAGGTCCTCCTGAGCAGGTCCTCTAACGAGGCCTGCGCTCATGTTACCTCGGAGGAATATAGACGCGCTCCAGGCCTAGTATGATTGCTGCGCTTGTTCGGAATTGTTCCCAACCGTCTTTGTCCTTTGTCCTTTGTCCTGTGTCCTCCTGGTTCAGCATGGCCGACGGTGCCTCGGCTCGGCCCTCCGAGGAGAACGTGGTGGAGTACGCCGACGCCACGAACGGCCAGGCTCCATCCGACAAGATGCTCATCTGTGAAAAGGACTACGCTGGGCGCGGGGAGGAGGAGGAGGAGGAGGAGGAGGAGGAGGAGGAGGAGGAGGAGGAGGAGGAGG